TACATACATACACACACACATACATGATAAATAACAACGTTGAGGGGGCGTATCCAGGATAGCAGTTGATTTCGTACTTCAGCTTCAGCGTATCTTATTGAAACTGATCTTGCGAGATGTGGACTGCACTGGGACATACTTGGAGCTGCATAGTGAATGTCGTCTTGAAATAGTGCGTCCCTATGGAGCAGAGGTGCCCAAGTAGATGCGCATTTGCCTCTGAACCTTGCATTGTGGGGTGTGGATAGAATTTTGCATACGTGCCATGAGTGCGGGTTCGGCAGGGTGAAATATGTGTAGTTTTGTATCGTATGAGTTTTCGTCGGGCTTACAAAGTGCCTAATTGGGTTCTATACTACGAGGTACATGGATGATGGTAGCAGGGGTGATTTTCTAACGATTCTACCGGTGCTCACTGCAGGTGCGCCAGGGACTTCGAGGCTTTGCAAATATGTTCGAGGATTTAAATTGCAGAGGGGTGGGTGGATTACATAGTCCGGGTTATGATACCCATGAAGAAGACTACAACAGCCGAGCTCAAGTTCTGATGGGTAAGTTTTTAGAACAAAGACATAGTGTGCCTACGATCGTGGGGCTGCAAGGAAATGCGCCTCAATATCTGACCGGAAATCTATTGATGTAGATGAACCCCGCTGGACATACATTGAAGATGGTGGTAGGGATGACATTTTTCATTATGATAGATTTTCAGATTGTTCATACGAGGAGTGCGCGCGCCAAATGAACAAGGGCCGGGGATCTATACAGAAATGTACGTGTTGACTTTGACTTGAGAATATCATCATCTGGACGACCTCTTTTAGGCTGAGTAGGTGGGACGATTCCTTCCCGATGGTTCTGTTCCAGAGTTCCGGGTTCTCTCGACCCGAGACTCAAGAACTTCTGCATGCAAAAATGAGGAGATTTATAAGATTCCAGATTTTCAAAACCCAGCAAATCCAGAGTTCCAGAATTGCAATACTGGAATCATTCCAGATTTGGTTTTATTCAGATATGTAAACCTGGAATTCTGGGTTCCGGAATTATGGAATTATTCGGCCCTCTTCATCGAAACCCAGACGTTCCAGCCGGGAAGGGTTTTGGTTTTCGGAGTGGAAATCCAAAGAAATCAAGGAAAAGGTTGAAGGCAAGTTATCACAAGAAAAAGTATGTGTGTCAACAGCATTCCAGTGATTCCAGGATTCCAAATTCGTGCATGTGTAGCTTGCATCGTTTGTGCATGGTACAGTGGCTTAGTGCTCTGACAGTAAAAAGCGTAGTTTGCTCTGCAATGGCATAGCGCCGTCAACACGTATACGGATATATTACAATCAGTGCGTGTGAGCAGTGGTTTCCTCAAACTATATGTGACAATTGCAGAATTTCAGACGTGTCACAACCGAGAAAGCCAGATTTTCACAATGCCACAATTCGAAAAGTCCAGGTTTGATCGGCCTGATAATTTCAGAACCCCAGATTTTGCTTCAGGCGTGGGTTTTGAGAGAGGGTTGGGGGATACCACATATATATATATTAATAAGTATATCTGTTATCTATGTATATATACATATTATATACATTCTCATGTTTATATATATATATATAAACAAATACATCAATGAATGAAAAGATAAATAGATACATAAATAAATACGTACATGAATTAATATATATATATATGTATATATATATATATACACATAAATTTTCATATATACACATTAAAATGTATACACGCATATGTGCATGCATCAATATATATTTGTATGTAAGTACCTTCGGTGCGTTTGCCAGAACAGCTGTGTTGTCAGTGTCAGTGTTATGTGGTGTTGAGGTGCCAGATTGCTGTTCCAAACTTGGTGACATCCGGTTGTTTCATTCATGTCAGGGCGGGTCCGGGTCCCATTCGTCAAAGATAGACACATCATTTTGGGCGAATGTCTTTTTGCAAATCATTAACTCTAGTTGCTTGTGAGCTTTGTTTGTTGCTCGCCCAGGCTGGGCTTTGTCACGCCCTGTCGTCTTCTAGAGTCGAGGGTTTGCAAGTCACTTCTTAGCTTCGGAATGGCCGCGTGATTCTTACACGCGTTATTGACTGGGCTTGGGTTGCTTTTTGTAACGTAATGGATGAAGTTTGGAGACAGCAGCTTGAAAATGGCCTTTGGGTAGTCGTGCTGGGGTTCCGGACACTTGACAACACAAACGGACAGTCAAGTCAGCCTCCAAAGTCTCCGCAACGCTGCCCTTCTTCCGGTCCTCCCTGCTTGCGATTCTTGACTCCACGCCCTGCGAAGGTCCCGACTACACAAAGGCCGCGTAGATCTTCGATTGTCGACCCCTTTGAAGTTTTGGAGATTTTCCCGGGAGTGACACAAGGGATTCACTCTGCCTCTGAAAGATGCACTGAAAGCTGTGCAGAGGCCGAGGCCCATTTTTAACACTCTCGTGAGCTTCAGAAGGAGGTGTTCGAGTGTATGTCTATTTCGTCAATAGACTCCTCAAGCTTATCCTTAAACCAGATGGTCTTTACCGGGCAGGACATCTGAAAGACCGCTGTGTTGTTAATACTGGACTTGAAATTCTTGCATGAGTGGTTGAGACCGTGCAGTTTCACAAGGCTAGATTGGAAGGCATGGTGCTTGCGATGGATGCAGGGAGCTCAGCCGAATTCGGCATACTGCGTCCGCGTCGTTTCCCGTGTTCAATTTGAGGTAGATTTCTTGGTGTGGGCTTTCAGCAGCTGGGCAGTGCTGTTCTCAGCTGGGCCCTCCTTTCCCGAGGGATGATACTACTTCAGACTTAAGCTCAACTTTCAACCAGTCAGCATGCGCGAGAGATCTGCATGATGGAGCCATGTGCAGAAGAAGCACAGGATCAGCCTCAGTGCAAACTCCCTGCAGTTGCTGTTGGACGGAACTACCTATACTGAAGCACTGCCGGAGGCTTGGGCTCGTTTGACGAGGACATGACGGTGCTGGCTTGAACTGTTTCACTTCAGCCTGAGCGTGTCTTGATCTCAGCATCAAAGCGTGGAGGCTTGTTAATGATTGAATTCAGCGTGTTCACACGATGAGACCAGCCGGCCAAAATGCATCAACATGACATGTTATTGTGCTGTTGTCACGGAATGTTATGGACCCTCAGAGACTGCAGACACACTTGGCGATCTTGAAATCCGTGTGAAGCATATCCGGCTCAAGTAACTAGGAACACTGCAACTTGAGGCGGTTCAGGTTGTTGATCAGAGGTGTTTGGCAGCTTTTTCATCCGACACTTTCCATCCACCTGAGAAGGGTTCCCCCTAGCAAGGCTATGGGTGCTTTTGTGCAGGCGCTGCAAGGATGGATTTCTTGAGTCTGCTGCGAGTCTGAAGCTTTATGACCGCAGACTGCGGATTCAGGAAACATGATTCGCTTTGGCCTGATTGCAGGCATGTCGTTTCCGCGACCAGGACCAGCAGGTGCATCCAGGTAAGGCACGCCTGCAGGACCTACCATGCAACTCTCGCAGGATACCCACAGCAAGCCTCCTGGCTGGCGCAGCCAGGATCGGCCCATGAGCATCCATGAGCCCCGTGAAGCAGGACAGCGTGTCCTGCTGTCTAAGGACATGGCAATGGGGTGGCAGGATGTGCAAGAGGTGAACACCAGGCCCAGGCATTCTTGTAAGGCAAGTTGGCAGAGTGCGAGAAGGCATTGACCCGATGACAGGTCTACGACCACAAGTACATCTTGGCAGAGGCGGAAAGGAAGAAACAGGAGCAACACACTGCTGCCGTTTTTGTTGTCCACGGCGAGCTACTGCATCCTTGATTCAAGAGAGCCAGCAGGAAGTCGACGGGGGACTGGCCAAGCAGCTAGCCCACATCGACCTCAAGTGAGTCAAAGAATCTTGAACCTCTGAAGCCGTGACTGTACTGACCTGTGTGACAGGTACCAAGAAGAACGAGGCAACATCCTGAAGCAGGCTGAGAGCATGGTGGAAGCATCTGATTGAATGTGTACGATGTGATGAGAGCAGAGCAAGGCTGAGAGCCATGCTCAGCTGGCAGAGAAGGAGGTGGCAGCGCAGACAAAGGAACGCCACGCGTGGACCCAAGTTTCAGGTTTAGCTAGGACTGGTGGAAGGACTAGCGCAGGTATCTAGGAGGATGGACGTTGATGTTCAGAGAGTGGGAAGTGCAAGGGGCCACTGAATGATACACACCCGCCGACGGTTTCGCCAAGGCTCAGCTGCAGCGCCAAGAGGACATTCAGGAGCGGAGCTAGACAGCTAGACTAGACTGACCGGATGTCGTTCGTGTGTTTTGCGAGTCCTGGCTACTCAGGCTCACGCGATCGGTCACGAGGCAGACGCAGAGCCATGCCCTCAGACCTCAGACCATGGCGCGGTGTGGCATCAAAGTCTGAGCTTTGCGCATCAAGACGCTTCCTGGCGTCGTGTAATCCAAGCAGTGCAGGAAGGCCCGACTTGGACACGCGGCTGCCACGGCCATCGCTGCCCACATGGAGCAGCAAAAGGTCGTAGATTGTGACGAAAGCGCTACCAGTAAAGTGTCTTTGTTCGGCAGGCTAGAGTGCACCAGGAAGCGCTTCGTGAAGCAGAAGACATGTGGAGGCGAGCACCTGGCTTCCAGTCTCAAGGCTTCGTGTTTCAGTCACATTCCAACCTGGCCAAGGGAATCTCAGCGAGCTCTGCTGGAGAAGGCCGAGATGCAAGTGGGAGATCGTTCAGACCGGTGTCTCTGCAAACCTGTCGTCAACGAGTGCTCTGCTTGAGCGGAAATTGATAGTATCTTGTTGCGCAGCTGCTTTGCGTTTCGTATGCAGGCTCACAAGGCAAAGATCGAGATCGCCCAATCGGCATGCTTGTTCTCGCTCCAGATGCTCCGAAATGCGCAGATAGGGCCTGGTCAAGCACATTGTGGACGTCAGTCCAGAATGGCTGAGCCAAGCGCTCAGTTTTCTGGTGTACGAAGTTTGCTTCTCTCGTGCCAGGAGCTCACAGCAAAGAGGCGCACAGCGGACATCGAGGAGCAGGCCCATCTCGCCTCCCTGCGGGCCCTTGTCGAATTTTCTGTATGTACGAAGGCCGAGGTTCTTCATTCTCTCCCTCTTTCCCATGGTTTTCCACACAGATTTCACAAGCACGATCTGATACAGAAGGTTCGGGAAGCTTTGTCGGTTGCTCAGACATCAATTGCCAAGCCTGTCGTGCCCATGTGGCGGCTAAGTTCCTATTCACATGAGGTCTCGCATCTATCTCTCCCCGCACACATCAACACTAGGACCACAGTGCATCGACGCTAAACCTTGGCGGTACTAGTAGTGGCAGATGCAGGCGTCCTGTGCTGCCTGAAGGACACAGGGTGCTGGGCCAAAGTCAGCGTCAGCCAGACCTGTGAAAATGCGGTGCCAAAGTGCATACTTCAGAAGCGCGGCTTTGCCTGGAAGCTGGAAAAGCAGGAACGTTGAGTTGCCGGAGTCACGCCGTGTCACACGAGCCCAGCCTAGCCTGAGATGTTTCTTTGACTCTACGCTGCTCAGCTCGAGGTCGTTGGATACATGGGACATTGAACGCAAACATGTGGGACCGCCGCTGCCCGAAGAGCCCAAACAGTTTTCTCACAGCCTGGAGCAGCTTTCAGCTTACGCTTAGACATAGAAGCGAGGACCTTTCATGCACAGGAAAGCCGTTAATGAAGTGCAATGGAATCTGTGTCAGTGTGGGAGAAGGCCCGACGCCAAAAGTAGCAATAGTGCAGTGTCCGAGGAGTTACTTTTCAATGTACCGCATGAGAGTTCCTTTCGAAGGTCTGGCAAGAAGTGCGGCTCTCGGACGGTGATTCGGGCAGCTGCTTTCAACCCGAGCATCACAGGTCCGTTCCGGACTTGTCAGTGGAAGCCTTGGCTTGGCGAAGAGGGCTGGTCGGCTGGTCCTAGATCTCTTTCTGCCTCTCACTGCCTCCGCCGAGGCTCGGTTGGAGCTGAAGCCATCCTCTTCCCGCATCGGCTCCCAGAGCACAGAACGAGCGCAGAACACAGAGAGCGAAAAGAGCGAGTTGAGTGGCCAAAGCCACTAAAGCGCTGAGGATCGACACGCTCAAGCTGCAGCAGCAAGTCTACGGAGGATCGGCGAGCGACCTTGGAAAAGTCATTCGTCGCATCGCTCCCTCGCAGCTCCTGCGACCGAGGCTGCTCTGGTCGCGTCGGGGTCTGAGGGACATCGCTTCCGCTCCCCGTGTCGGTAACAGCTTTCAGTGCATGCGAGCTCCACCCGAGTTCTGCTCGTCTAAGGAAGCGCTTGCTTGAAAAGCAGGGTCTGGGTGGACTCTACAAGGGCCTGCTAGGGTGCGCCACACTTCGCTTTTCTGCGTTGTTGTTGAGACCTGGCACAATCTGCAGGCGCTTGATTCAGACCATTACCTCCAATGTGCCGGGCTTATGGGCGAGTCTCCAAAGCTGGGGGACTCGCTAGCACTTCTGCGCCTTCGACAGCGTCCTTCAAAGCAAGTTGCAGTGAAGATTTGCTGCAGAGCGGAAGGTTGGCTTCTTTGTCTGGCAAACGGTCTTCGTCCAGCTCAGTCTGCGCCAGCTACAAGCGCACGAACCGGGCTGCCAAAAGCGCGGACCCGAGAGATGTAGAAAATGAACTCGTTGTATCTATGTGCTTGAAGTCTTCTGTGCACCAATTTGCCATGTGCACGGAGGTTAGGAACAATTGCCGCACTGGTCGTCAACATGCTGGCACAACAGCTGCCTGGAGATCCATCAGTCACTAATTAGTCTACAGGAGTGAAGGATTTGCAGGTCATCTGTCCTGCAACTTGGCACATTGCTGCGGTCTGTCGATGTCAGGTTCAACCGCATCCTCACGACGCCATGTGATGTCGTTGCCAATGTGAATCAGGTCCATTGTTCGCACATGTTCGTGTTACTGTCCGAGTGCTGTCGCATGTGCCGAATTTAAGCCCAGGCAGATCCAGCATCCAGAGGCTTCTTCAGCACCTTCCTCCGGATGGCTCGTGCGCACACCACAGCCTCTAACGGTCAAGAGGAATCACTTTGTGAGAGTGTCACGAGAGAGAGAGAGAGAGAGAGGCTCGAATTTACAGAAAACCGAGCATCCATATCTTCTTGAAAGCCCCCACAAAGCCCCTAACACAGGGGTGCGCCATCCGGCGCGGGGTGCTTGACACGCACCTCAAGCCCCGGAGAACACAACAGAACAGAGGCTTCGAGCCTGCTGGGGCAAAGCTTCCGTGGGGGCCGTGAAAACCTGTGACTCGCAGGTGCGTGCTCGCGCGCGAGGGTTCGGGCGTCCGCTCGTGCCCTCTGTCCTGGTAGCAAGAGAGAGAGGCTTCGAGCGCTCAGAGTGATCGCAATTTGTGTAAGTGTGTTCGTAGCTTGCCAGTGCTGTGCATGCCCTGTCATGCAGATCGTCCGAACGATTTTGGCTCAAGCTGTTCGGGTCGAATGGAAGGTCGCCCCTTCTTTTAGGGTTTGGGGCTTGTCAATAGCAGCTTCTTTGCAGGTTTTGGGTCGACCAACATTTCTTTTTAGGGTTTGGGGTTTCCCAACCATGCCTTTTGTTTAGGGTTTCATCATCTCCTGTTAAGGCTTCTTTGCAGGCTTTGGGTTAACCAACATCTCTTTTTAGGGTTTGGGGTTTCCCAACCTTTCCATGTGTGTAGGGTTTCAGCATCTGGGTTTGGGTTTTGTCAATAGCAGCTTCTTTGCAGGTTTTGGGTCAGCCAACATCTCTTTTGAGGGTTGCATGGCCCGCGGTGCGGCTGCGCACGGCCCCACGGGCAGCCCTGCGGGCTGCGGCCTTGCGGCCCTGTGCCCTGCGGGCTCTGCGGGCTCTGCGGCCCTGCGGCTCTGCGGCCCTGCGGCCCTGCGGCCTGCGGCCCGCGGCCACGCCCGCGGACACTGCAAAAAACTCTACCCGTTGAGCTTGATTATGAATTTGTCGTTTTTGCGGAGGTAGAGTCAGGACAGAAAAAGTTGGTTGCGCTCGCGATCATCGGGCCTTAAGACTTCGGGAGACTTGTTGGTGTCCTTTCCCGCTCGCTGCTGGCATCGGGTTGCGTGTCGTCACTCTGCGGGAGGTCCGAAGGATTGCGTTAGTCAAGGTGCCGTTGGTGAATCCTGAACTCCTTTCAGTATCCGCAGAGTCGCAGGTCAAAGTGGTGTTGGCTGTTCACAACTTTGAAGGAGAGGCAGCTATTGATCCGGTGAGGTCCTATGCGACCGAGTAGTTTTCTGCTGGCCACCACTGAAACACCAACACAGGAAGCCCCGGATGGGGTGGGGTACTTGACCGGGCGCGAAAGATTTAGGCCCTAGAGACAGAGAGCGAAAGAGAGGGAGGTGTACGCAAAATTGTGCAAGGTACTGGCGGAGTTCAAGAGCTTTGGCGAGGGTGCGGTGGGTTTTTCCAAAGTTGCGGGCAAGAGGCTACGTCTTGTTTTTGCACGTTCAGGCTTCCCGTCGCACTTCTACTCTCTCTGAACCCTGCTCTGATGTTCACCTTGGCCGGCAGCTCGCACATGTCCAGAGGCCGCAATTAGCGACCTATTATCTTTCAGTCGCTGAGGTCGGGAAGCTTTCGGATCTCATCAAGGCCAAATCAAAGCGACATGCCAAGGCAACTTAGAAGCAGCTTCATGCATGTCAGGTTTTGCGAGGTCACGGGACTTCCTCCCACTTGAGCTCAACAGACATGTGTCGCCGGCCTCGTTGTCCCGACAGGCTTCTGCTGGCTGTTGGCTGAATGTGTCTTCTTGCCAGGTTTTGGATTTCTGGAGTGTCGAAAGCTGTGGCCACACTTCTGACCTACCCATTGATCCGGGCGAAGGTCGTGAGTTGCTACTAAGATGGCACCAGGATAGCATGAGGACTGCGGCGACAACGGAGATTTACCTCGCTCATGCAGGCCGTCATTCAGACAACGGGTGGAAATCACTTGGGCTTGTGGGGGATGCTCGCGGGTTCCTTATCTCCAATTGTTTCGAGTGTGTCATGAAACGATGTTCTGCCAAGGCCCAGATAGTAGGACAAAGCGGATGGCTTGGTCTCTATCAAGGTGTCAAAGTCTGAGATCGCGCGATGGAAGGGTTTGCGTGCCACGAGTATGCACGGCCAGCCGAGGTCTGGATCATGAGCTACAAGACAGTTCTTTTCAACTCCTTGATGATGGTTCGGTCCTCGTTTCAGTTAACGCCCTGCCGATTGATCCGCGGGTTCTATTTGTCTTTATCTGTTTGCGGGGTGTTGTTACATTGTTGGCGGGGGGGTGGTGGGGGAATGGTAGTTCCGTTCTGTCTAACGTCTAACGACGTCCATTACCGAGCAGTAGTAGCAGTAGGGCAGTAGTAGTAGTCGTCGTCGTCGCCGTCGTCGTCGTAGTAGAAGTAGTAGCAGCGGAAGTAGTAGTCGAAGCAGTAGAAGTAGTAGTAGTACCAGTAGTAGCAGTAGTAGCAGTAGTAGTAGTAGTAGTAGTAGTAGTAGTAGAGTAGTACTAGTAGTACTGGCGAGTACTAGTCGTGCTTGTAGTTCTCCTGCATTAACCACCCTTGCTATGCTGCTGCTGCTGCTGCTGCTGCTGCTGCTAGTGCTGCTGCTAGTGCTACTGATGCTACACCTCTTTAGACGAGTTTCAGGTTTCAGGTCTTGCGGGTTCAGGGACTGGTGACTGCACAATGTATAATAGTATACAGTAATGGCATACTGGAATACTATCACAGTATACAATAGTACGGTACTATAGTGTTTGAAGAGGCTATTGTACTTGACTTGCGGCTGCTGGGAGCCGGACCCCGAGAACCTTCAAGGCTTTCCCAGCTCTCAAAGACGTATTGTGCTGCCTGATTTTTAGCAAACTATAATAGTGTACTAGAATACCGTACTGTAATAGTATCTTTAATCGTGTGCAAGCCCAAACCCTAAAGCTTAAACCCAACATCCCAAGCCTTGGCGAAGCCGTGCAAGCCTGAAACCGTCGAGCTTAAAGCTTGAACCCGACATCCCAAGCCCTGGCGGAGCACCTCAAAGCCGATACCCGACACTCTCAACAACAACCCAAAATCCGCTCACCGCTCGAGAAAAATCGTTTTCTTGAGCACTGACGCATTGAAGGAACAACACAAAATTTGTTGCTCGCATGCGTCCGATGCCTTCCCGCGAAGCGCTTTTCTCACAACAAACTTCTGTTTTCACCGAAGTCAGAACACAAAGTGCACCGTAAGCACAGTCTGGGGGCCCCCAGAGACACAAAAAGCATGGCAACACCGAACCCCCACACACCCATGCCTCGACCGAAATCCAAAAAATGCCAGTTTATCAGGAAATCCGTAAAGACACGCTGGCGGACACTCGTGCCATCAATTGCAAAACCTTATTTTCGCCTCTTCGACACCACCAAAAAATTAGTTCCAAAGATGAAACAATGAAGAAAAGATGGCCCGAAAACTTGAGCGGCTGCGCAAGGCTGTCTCCCGAAACAAGTACTGCTAAAGCAGAATATGTCGTTTTACCTCGGCAAAACAGCTATTTTGCATAAAATGCACCCCTGCTATCGCGCGGGTCGTTTGGCGTTACCTTTAAGCTGGTTGTCTGACTCTCGACCATGTTGGAGGCGCTGAAGCAGAAGGTCTCGCTTGCACTGATGAGGCGCCTGCTCCAGCTCGGCGTTTAGGGAACGGACCCACGTGCTTGGAGGTGGGATCAATTCCGCGATCGCAAGAGGCGACGTGAGGCGGCGACAGAGCTGGAAGGCAGAGCCGCAACGAAAGCAATTTGAAACGCGCCGCCGCGCTCGGAGATTTGTGTGCGACCCTGCCTGGCCTAGCATCGAGGCTTCCGTGGCTCAGCGCGGAGCTGACACTCTTCCCTTCCGCAAGCCAGTTCGGCAGTACCTTCTGAGATGAAGGTGACGGCATGCTCCAGCCTGGAGATGCCATGGGAGGCATCAGCTCGAGGTGGGCTTTCGATTCCTCTGAAGCTTCCGAAGAAGCCTCAATAGCAAGGTGCCTCTGTTGTTTACATTGATGGGTCATGGTGCTTTCTGCATGATGCTCAGGCATGAGCCCCAGCTTCACACTGAAACACACTGCGCAGCCTCCCAAGAATCTCAGCATGAGGCCCACATTCTCCGTGAAGCGCATCAACAAGCCGATCACCTCATTGTCGGCGTGCACAGCCACAGTCCTAGATCGACGTCTGTCGTAGTGTCATAGACTGATAGAATCCTGTGCTTGAGGCGACGAATGCCATCAAGTAGCGGTTGGCTCCTGGTAGGGGCCGTTGTGGGCCGAGGGCCTTTAGGGGCACAGCAGGCACAGCAGGCTGAAGCGAGCCGAGGCCACCCGAATGCTACGCTGCGAGACTCGGTCGTCTCAGGAGGAAGCCCTGGGCCAGGAGCTGAGAGCAGAGCTGAGTCGCGTCATTGCGAGTCTTCATTGAGCGCGCCTTCCAAAGGCGGCGAGCATCCTGGAGCAGGCTCCTTGGGAGGCCGCCGTATCCACCGCGAAGCATCTTTGAGCTCAAGCCTTCGCGACGGTTGCGAGGTAACACCCGAACTGCTTGATGAGCTGGGCATTACAAGAGTTGTAAGCGGATCAGTCACCAAGATCGAGGACTCACATATTGTTGTTGGTTGTTACTGTACAGTACTTTGGACGTCATGGTAGAGGCTGGTAAGCTTGAGTTGCATGTCTGCATGTCTATATATCATCGTGCGTGTAACTATGTATGCAGCTGCCAGTGGTGTTTAGGACACCAGGTTCCTTAAACGGGCGCTGGCAAATGCCGCAGCAAGCAAAACCATGGCAGAAGCGCCTGCATGGCAGGACTGCTCTGGCAAAGATGTTCCAACACGGCCACGATCTCACAGGCGGAACAGATGTCCCAGTGGTGCGTAGATGGAGTCTGTGGAGCCAGTGCCGCGGTGTCGTGATGAAATTCGATCAAGGTGTCGCTTGCAATCGTGTTCTGTTTTCGATCAAATCGCTGACGATAAAGTGGACGGATATGAACTTGCCTGGGTTGTTCTTCCGATGCATTCTCAACAACGGACAGAGAAGTTTCCGGAAAGATACCGAGCCAGAACCTCATCAGTGGCTTCTTCAAGTCCAACGGTACAACGAGAAGATACTTTTATGACTTGACTTACAGAGTCATGATACGCTTAGTACGACACTTCTGTCCGAAGTATTCGTCTCCATCATCTTCCTTCACAGAAACATGGCACGAACCTGTAATTCGTGGCGCAGCGTGGCGGAGCTCGGTGGAGGGGCGGAAGAGGAGGAGCTCATGAGTTCGATAATATGGGAAGTTTTGGCGCCAGTCCAGGTTGTTCGCAGGTCGTCCAAGGAACCTCTCGTGTGCCGAAACTTTTACTTTCCCAGTTTGCACTTGCTTAGATCTCGCATGAGCCACTTGTGCAGTACTCCCACCAGCAAGGACCGCCAGGAGGCACGGACATTGATGCTGACCGACGGAAAGGGGTCACAGCTTGCGATGCTTGTCTGGAGGTTCCGGTGCTGCTGGCTTCACCGGTCGACCCCTATGCGGAATGTAAGAGGTGCGGCACACGCAGCGTTGCACTTCTCGGATAAATTCATGCACGTCAACGGCACCCTACCGCACACCCTACCGCCAAGGCGTGGCATTTTCGAGGAGTTGCCGTCGCTGAATGCATCCACTGAGCATGACGAGTGGATGCGCAAGGCCAGTCTCGACTTGAGCCTGTTGTTCGCTTGTCTGTCTTGACAGATGGACGGACGGATGGATGGATGGATATGCATGCATCTGTTTGTATTGTATTGTGTTTACGCAGGTATGCCGACCTGCATGCATGCACGTCTGCATGCATGCTGTGCACGTCATGGGTGGTATAAATGCATAGATCCCTGGGTGCATCGATTGTGCAGTAGTACTACCCTAAGCCCGAACCAAAAAGTAACGAGATTCAGCGAGCGGCCATGGTTTTGTAGTGGTAGTGGTAGTGATAGTA